GGGCACAGGGGGGCCCGGCCAGATGCCGTGCGGGCCCCCTGGGTCGCTATGGGATCCTCTGCTGGTGGCTTTCACTGGCGGCTGAAGAGGAACACGCCGCTGTTCAGATCGCCGACAGTAAACTGTGCACCGGCGCAAAGTCAATGAGAGCCAGCAGCGGCGGTGGAGGAGGGGCCCGTGGTCGGCAGCAGGGGAGGAGGCGGGGCCCAGTGACAAAGAAGGAGGCGAGGGCCCGGCGACGGAGCCCCATCAGATACCGTGGAGGAAGAGGAGAATTACAGGTAAGGAGTGCGACCAGCCCACCTGAGGGCTGAGAGTCTGTGGCGGGCCCTGCAGGTGGGATCTCGAGTGGGCTCTGCAAGGGGTATAACTAGAAATCACGGGGGCCCCATACTAAATTTTGCTATGGGGGCCCTATGATTTCTAGTTACGCCCCCCTGCTTGTTACATTGATATCTGCAAAATAACATCCTGTGGTTGTATTTTCTCATTACCCGTGTTATCGATATTATTGAAATCTTCATCCATATTCTGTGCTCATTACAAACAGAGGCGGTGGAGGAGGAGGCGGGGCCCGTGGTCGGCAGCAGGGGAGGAGGCGGGGCCCGGTGACAAAGAAGGAGGCGGGGCAAGGTAACAAAGCCCCATCAGCGACCGTGGAGGAAGAGTTATATTCATTTTAGTTAATAAATGTATATTTTTGCACGTTATTGTTATTCATCTCGTCTTCGGGTGAGCGCAAATAAACAAACTCGAGTTATTTTTGTTGACTTGTGGAAATAAGTTTGGGAATCTCCTTAATTACAGATCCCGGCTCGTTTTCATGAAATAAAAACAGTTTATTGTATCAAAGTAAATATTCTGACAAGCCGGAGATACAAAACTACTCAGACACAAGCTTTCCATCCCTCAACCCCAAACCCTTCCCCCGAGATGTATGAGGAGGGGGAGGGGAGGCTCCTTCAACTAGTACAAGCCGGAGATACAAAACTACTCAGACACGAGCTTTCCATCCCTCAACCCCAAACCAGTAGTGTTTGTGCATTAGTCAGTCACTGGGCTTCTAGTAGCCAGAGGTGCCTGCTGACAAAGTGTACACATATGGGTGGGAGCGGCCATGTGCTCTCTCTCTTGCCATGCATTAAGGTTGGGTCCTGTTCGGCCTGCCCTCCAGGCTAGGCCGAGGCCTGGGGGGTGGGCATTGGTTGAGTTGCTGAAGGAGAGGTTTCCTTGGAGGCTTACAGCCAGGAGAATGCCTCAAAGATGGAAGAACCAGGACCAGTGCGGGCTCTTGAAGTGCCTCGGATTTGTGTGGACTTCAGAGCGGGGTCGGTGTTCTCTCATAGATGGTGGAGATGTACTTAAGATAAGATCCGGTGAGTCTGGAGCTAAGGAGGCCTGTACACCTAGAACCCTACACCCTCTCCCCCTAATTAGAAGCTAAATAAATTGTTCCACTAGCATCCTACAACTGGAGTGGACCTCAATTTATGGGCAACAAGAAGAGGGCGGTTAATACTAATGGGGGCAGTTGGAAATCAATCCCTAGACTGACCAGATGTGGACCTGTTCATCCAGCGGCTCCTACGGGGGTGAGCGATACAATGGATTTTACTGGTAAGTCAGAAGTCCTACTTTCTTGTTCATACCGCACAGGACACGGACTATTCAGAGACGACTGGGACACCCCAAAAGCAACAGAACAGAGAGGTGGGCAACTCAGCAAAACAACCGCCAACCAGACCCAACAAACAACTCAAGGAAAAGCTCCTCAGATGGCAGCCCGTACCACCTCCCACCAAGACTTGCTTCCACAGAGGCACGACCATCCCCCCTTTGAATTCAGATTGGGAAGAAGTCCTCTCGTCCAGCTTGGGAAGTGTAAATGGGGGAAGTAAAACCCTGGAAATCTTTCTCCTGTCGGCACTGGGATAATGACCCCCAACATCAGCAGATGGTACAGTCCAGATCTGACTTTCACTGAGGAGAAGAGATAAGTTGGAGGGCGTGGCATGCACAGGAGGACAGGGTGAGAAGTCCAGCTTGTAACCCAGAAAAACATTGGAGCAGACCCAAGAGCCCGGCTTTCCTAGAAGACCCCGGAGTAGACTCGGATGGAGGGACATTTGGTTTCTGCTTGCTGGGTAGAACTCTTGCCACTTTCGAACTTTTTGATAAAGACGTCCTACTCCTTCACTGACAAGACGTTCTCCCGCAAAGGGAATCCTTTCCAGGTGCTTTTTGCAGAGAGCGGTCCTAACAACTCTGGCCAGTGTCCAATCACCTGATATCTGCATATAGATGTCTCTGGATCTGCCTGTGTCCTGTGCTGTACCGTCAAGAAAACAGCTTTACCCACGTGTGTCTCATCTGATGTTTATTATGATGGGAGTTCCATGAGAAACTTTTTCCACATGCAGGACAGGAATACGGCTTCTTGGCCTCAGGCAATCTCTGATATACAAAAAGATGGATCTCCTCTGAAAAACATTTCCCTCACTCATGTGAGATGTATAATGTCTGAGCGTTTTATGAAGAAATCACTTCCCACAATCATTGTAGAACTATAGCTTCTCATCCTTGTGCAAACAATGATGACTGAAAAGATAGGCTTTCCGTAAATAACCTGTCCCACACTTGGAGCAGCAATATGGCTTCTCCCCCGTGTGTGATCTCTGATGTGTATTAAGAGAGGTCCTTGCTGAAAAACATTTCCCGCACTCGGAGCAGGAATATGGCTTCTCCCCCGTGTGTAATCTCTGATGTGTATTAAGAGAGCTCCTTGCTGAAAAACATTTCCCGCACTCGGAGCAGGAATATGACTTCTCCCCCATGTGTGATCTCTGATGTTTGGTAAGATGGCACTTATATGGAAAACTTCTCTGGCACTCAGTGCAGGAATACAGCTTCTCCCCCGTGTGTATTCTCTGATGCTGGATAAGATAACACTTTTGAGCAAAGCCTTTCCCACACTCAGGGCAGGAATATGGCTTCTCCCCTGTGTGTGTTCTCCGATGTTTGGTAAGATGGCACTTTTTTGAAAAACTTTTCTGGCGCTTTTCTGGTTTCACCCCCGTGTGTATTCGCTGATGTGTAGTAAGAGAGGAGCTTGATGAAAAACATTTCCCGCACTCAGAGCAGCAAAATGGTTTCTCCCCCGTGTGTACTCTCTGATGCTCCATAAGATGCCACTTATATGGAAAACTTCTCTGGCACTCAGTGCAGGAATACGGCTTCTCCCCCGTGTGTATTCTCTGATGTCGGATAAGATCACTCTTTTGAGCAAAGCTTTTCCCACACTCAGGGCAGGAATATGGCTTCTCCCCCGTGTGAGATCTGTAATGTACGACAAGGTCTGATTTACGAAGAAAACTTTTCCCGCACTCATAACAGTAAAAAGAATTGTCACCAATGTGAGAACTCAGATGAACACAAAGATCTGATTCAGAGCTAAAACTTTCCCCGCACTCGGGGCAGGAAAATGTCTTCTCCTGCTGAATTCCGGCACCATCCCCCACAGGACAAGGTTGCTCAGAGTCAGAGGGATTCCATGCTCTATCCACACTGTGACGTCCACCATCCATAGCTGAGCTCACTGTCTCTTCTCCCGCACAATCTGCTGTGATGTCCTCATCTTCCATCTTACAACCTGGAGATAAAGTCAGAGGATCCTTTGAGGGTTTCTCCATGGCGTGTCCTGGAAACATAGAAACACATGATGGAGAGATATGAGAGGGTTAGATGACTTCACTCAACATTCCATCTGGATCAGGAGGTCTGAGGGAGCAGATGTTCTCTGTGGAGGTCCCAACCAGCTGGGACTCCTCCCCTCTTCAGTCAAAGGGCCTTTGGTCCTCCTCCCAGATCACTTCTACATTTACACAGCTCTGTCAGAAGAGGCGGAGCCAATGGGGACTGGGAGGAGCATGCTCTTCACCCAACCACAAGCCTAGGCATTGGGTCATGTGATCTCTGAGGAACAAGACAAGACTTGTAGACCCTTCACCACAGAACAAGTGACCCCAGGCCTAGGCTTCTGGTGATGAGCAGCACTGGAGGGAGCTTGGAGAAGTATGTTCTCCTGGAAAGAGAAGTGTTTCAGTCTTTGTTACTTTTCATCCCAACAAGACTGATAATAGAGTTTTATGTTTAGCTAGAAGTCTGCTGGAAGACGAGGAACCGACCTAAGAAAGGCCCAATCTGTGTCCTCATATCTGTGCT